TTTTATAATTTTATACAAAAAATAAATGTTTCTATCATTGGAGAAGACGTATCAATTTTTAAGGGTTTTTTTTTTTAAGTAGTTTTTATACAGATTTTTAAATAAATTTATTAAATTTATTTAATAAAATGGAGTTAGAATATGATAAATTTTATATTTAATTTGATTTTTTTTAAATAATAATTTTTAAAAGATTTAAAATAAAATTTATTTGATAAAATTGTTGAATTTATGGATAAATTTATGAATTTGTTTTTAAATAATATACTTAAAATTAAGTTTAATATTTTAAAAATAAGTTTTAAGTAGAAATTTAGAACAAATGCTCAAAAAATTCGAAATAAAATGACAAAAAAGTAACTTTTTTTGAAGCGGAAAACGAAGATTCTAAGCATCATTTTAGAGAAGTTTTACAAAATTTTACTAAAAAATTTAATTAAAATGATCTATTAACGTTTTTAGAGCAAATTATATTTAAAAAAAACTCAAAAATTCTAAAAAAAAATTGATAAAAAGCTGTGTTTTGAGTAAAAGGTAACGTTACTTGGAGGAAGTCGACTCTCAGAAATCGCTGTCTTTTACTAAAAAAACTCAAATTATTTTTAATTATTTATCAATTTTTGAGTTTTTTTTGCATAATTTTTAGATTTAACAGCGATTTTTACATAATTTTTCAGATTTTTTTCTATAATTTTATTCTAAAAAGTTATTTAAATGATAATTTTAAAACGAAAAACATCCAAAAAGTCGAAATAAACATTAAAAAATACCTTTTTTTCAGTAAAAAACCACACTAAAACAGTGGTTTTAAGTAAAAAAAATCCATTAAAATACACAAAAATTTCTTTTATAAGTAAAGAAAACCGCTAAAACCGACTAAATATGCTTTTTTTTAGTTAAAAACCCACTAAAACACAATAAAAACCCTTTTTTAGTTTAGAAAAAAACAACTAAAAACACTAAATTGTGCTTTTTTTCGAGTAAAAAAACTATGATTTTCGAAGCAGAGAGCAATTAAGATCCATTCTAAAAGCCTTTTTTTAAAATAAAATTAACATTTTTAAAATCTGATTTTCAAAAAAATTAAGAAAATCAGTGTTTAAATATCATTAAAAAAAGCAAGACGACCCACATAAAAGGCCCCGTGTTTACTTCCTATAAGAGTAAAGAGGAGACAAATATCCAACACCCACGCAATAAAAGGTAAAAGAACTTTCTCACGGACGTCTGTTTGTACATCCGTCGCCATTCATAAAAATCATCTTACCTGTTAATTCTTGCACAGAGTGAGATCTCGCGGGCACGGTCACCTGTAAAAGAGTAAACGAGACTTTAAGCAAACACACCAAGTGAGAGGGGGGGAGTTTACACGTAACCGTGACGTTTCTACACCCCTTTCCTAGTGTCTAAACGGCCGGGAAAATACGCCATACAGTCTACATCACTCGAAGGTTATTCTGTGTAGGGAATGTTACGCCCGTACGTAACACACAACCCACGTTTAAGGCTATAGTAGAGACCCTATAACCTTGGAACTATCTGGTTTTCAATTTATTGCACGGGGGTTGAATACTTGACAGCGTAATATGTCTGGTGTCACTATTGCTTAATTGCTATAGGATTTACGGACGTTGAGAAGGGTTTTTTCGATGACGTAACGTAATTTGCGGTGATTTTTTAAGTGATTTATAAGCTCGATACCCTTCTACACCCGTCTCCAACCCGCTTATCGCTTCTGGTACCAGTAAACTGGTATTAATTCGCGTTTAAAGCCCACTTTACATCTCTTCAACTCGCGAGTAATTAAGTTTGGGAGGTCGTTTACTAGTTTCTAAAGCCGAAAATACGGTGGACAGACATACTTAAGTGAGGATATTTGAGTAAATTAATATAGGAAGCGTATTTGGCGCGTGTTCGCCTCGTTCTGGTGATCGTTTACTAGTTTCTTAAACCAAATCCGGACAGACATACGCACCGATAGTCCCAATACGGATGAATAGCGTATGTACAGAGGTTACTTGACACGATTTCCTATCAGTTTCTTAAGTTTAGAAGGCGAACGGATAGACATACTTACGCACAGATCGTCCCAGTGTTTACGCGTGATCTCCATACAAGAAGCGTATCGGGGGTCGACGCATATTAAAACAGAGGCGCAGGTCGACTGTACGCTGTCCACTACGTTCCTCCAAGTGGGGCATTGAAATTTGTTGTGCGAATCGGTGGCCATTTTTACACATCTGCCGAACACATGCACGCGCGAATAAGCGGCGCGCGCTCTTTGACGAAATACACAAGAAAGCCCGGGTGGGTTGTAATGTGGGACAACATACTTGCGCTACCACCTAATCAACATACCTGGCAGGTACATCTACACCTGTGCATACACAACCAACCGTACGAAGGTCACACACCCCCCTCCTTTTCTCGCTTCACCTTTTGTAACTCTGACGTCCTGTGACGTCAGGAAATTACAAACTGCACGTCGCTGCTTTCCGTACTTTAACAGTAAGAAAGACACTTGTGACATCTCCAGCGCGCGATAAATGAGAATTTATTTAACGGAAACTTTTTTATTTTTTTCCTTTAAAAAAAGTAGAGTTTTTAATAAAAATTCGAGACTTTTTGGAAGAAATTATTACGAAGAATGTTTTCTTCAAAAAAAAAAATTAACAGTTTTAGCGAAAAAAATGCGGGGTGGTCCAAAATTCCGTTAACCGAGTTATATGTAAAGTCAACCGTAACGATTAACTGATTTTTGGACCGCGCTGTAACGAAATGCATTAATAATATTCACGTATAAAGAAGTAAAACGAGGGAGAAAAAATGCATTTTAGCAGTGAAATTCGTTTTAATTCTTATCTATTTGCATACTCTCCCGGGAGATTCTGGAAAAAGTCTCGAATATTATAATTAATTACTGCAAGAAAATGGAGTTTTGGAGCATTAATTCAAAAATAAAATTCCAAAAAATAACACTAATTTTTAGAATTTCGGTTTTTCTTTTTGGATTTTCTTCCTCATTTTTGTATTTTTATTTTGTATTTTAAATGAAGTTTTAGTGTTGAAAATACAAAATACTCCAAAAAACCCCGAACGTTTTAGAAATTAATTAAGTTTTATTGGATTTTTTCCTCTAATTTTTTCTGCGAATTGTTTACAAGATAAACCTGATCAATAATAGCAATATGATAAAGTGAATAGCTCTGTAATTAAATATTTATCGTCCTTATTTATCATCCTTAACGTAAATTACATAAATAATGAATAAAACTAAATCCCAAACGTTCCTCCACAAAATATGTTTTGCCATTTATTCGTGCTGTTACGATATTAATTTCTACAAAAATGACGAATTCCATGAATGTTGTTTTCAACATTGTCTTAAAATGTGGATGATGTGATGTAATCGAATGCGGGTTAATGATGATAGTAATTTTAAAAATTGCAAGGTTGGAAGTAGAAATAAATGTTAATATACTGTTTGGCATCCGTATTTCATCCTCCTCCTCCTCGTCGTTATCAATCCAGTGCTAAAACATCGTTTCTATGCCTAATTTTCGGGTTTAGTCCTCCTTATCGTCATTAACTGGATGTTACAACATTATTTCCACGCCTAACTTCCGTGCCCGATCCTCCTCCTCATCATCAACAGAATATTAAAGCGTCGTTTCCATGCCTAATTTCCGGGTTTAGTCCTCATCCTCATCATCAACTGGATGTTAAAACATCGTTTTAATGTCTAACCTCTACGTTTGATCCTCCTCATCATCATTAACTGGATATTAAATCTTCGTTTTGTATTTAACCTCCATGTCTGGTCCTTCTCATCATCATTAATTCAACGTTAAAACGTTGTTTCCACATCTAACTTC